CATCTCAGATTAATTGATTTTGTATTAACGACAAGGAAATGTTCACAAAAAAAAAAAACAAATGAATGTCTAAACCCCTTGTGGTTTGGATATTTTGCACCTGACCCCTTTTTGTTTAACCACGAACTTATATTGTATACGAATTAGCAACTTCTTTAGTTCACGTGTACGTCGTATGGTTCATTTATTTTTGGTCAGAGGATTCACATGAATTTAATTGATTAAAGTTTTCGAAATTTCTGCCTCAATTCTTTTTTTTATTTTATTATAATTATTTAAACTGGGAGCGGTGGTCTTTTTGTAAATTTCAAACTAAGATCAAACGGTGTTAATGTCAAATGTGTGAAAACTAACGGCGAGGGCCAACATTGAGACAATGTTTCAAGTACATGGGGGCAAATCGATGCAATTGAGAGTAGAGGGGGTAACGTGATATCGAGCCAAAGTACAACTGGGCAAATCGATGCAATTTAGAGTAAAAAAGGGTAAAGTGATATCGAGCCAAAGTAATTTACTCTTTTTCATTATTTAGCCCAAGTTCAGGGTTCTTTTTCTAATTTACCCTAAAAAAATTAAAATTTGGAAAAATGTCCCACTCTTGATAACCACCGTCCGATATTTTAAGTTTTACAGAACACTTAAAAATTCATTGTACGAAAAAAAAAAAAAAAAAAAAAGGCTTAGGTTTTTCATAAAACGAAAACCAGATCCAGAGTAACATTACCCCCTCTTTCGGTTTTCCCTGCGTTCCCTACTTCATTTATCCAGAGCAAGAGAGAGAGAAAACAAAAGGGGGAAAAAGACTGCGAAACCCTAGGAAGAACCCTAATCAATAATTTCAAAATGAGGATCATGATCAAGGGCGGGGTATGGAAGAATACGGAGGACGAAATCTTGAAGGCGGCGGTTATGAAGTATGGGAAGAATCAATGGGCCAGAATTTCTTCCCTTTTAGTTCGAAAATCTGCTAAGCAATGCAAGGCTCGTTGGTACGAGTGGCTCGACCCCTCCATTAAAAAGGTATTTTTCTGTTCTTCGTTTCTCTAGGTTTTTTTTTCAGAATTTTTAATTGAACTACTCTATTTGAAAATTGGATAATTAAATCCACGAAAATAAGTATTGGGAGCACTTGGAAGCTTATGTGTAGAAATGAAAGTTTGATTTTGTAGATTTTGTATAAATTTCAAGTAGTGTTTTGGTTATTTATTTGAAAAACGAGTTGGTGCAAATCACACTAAATATACAGTTCTGGGAGTTTGTGTATCTTGGAAATGTTCAGTTGGGGATTTGGGCTTGGAATTTTCAGTTCATTTGAAAAAAAATGAGTTCAAGAAGGTTGTAGAATTTGGTGGGATTTTTTTGGTTACCTTCAACAGACAAACTTTCTTGATTACAGACTGAGTGGACTCGAGAAGAGGATGAGAAATTGTTGCATCTTGCAAAGCTTATGCCCACACAATGGAGAACTATTGCCCCGATTGTCGGTCGTACTCCATCTCAGTGCCTGGAAAGGTACGAGAAGCTCCTTGATGCAGCTTGTGCGAAGGATGAGAATTACGAACCGGGAGATGACCCTCGAAAATTGCGTCCTGGAGAGATCGACCCAAATCCGGAATCCAAACCGGCCCGCCCCGATCCTGTGGATATGGATGAGGATGAGAAGGAGATGCTTTCTGAAGCACGAGCAAGGTTAGCCAACACACGAGGAAAGAAGGCGAAAAGGAAAGCCAGAGAGAAGCAGCTTGAAGAGGCTCGAAGACTTGCTTCATTGCAGAAAAGGAGAGAACTAAAAGCAGCTGGAATTGACGCACGGCAGAGGAAGAGAAAGAGGAGGGGGATCGATTATAACGCCGAAATACCCTTCGAGAAGAAGCCTCCTCCAGGTTTTTATGATATCGGTGAAGAAGACCGGCCGGCGGAGTTAGTGAGCTTCCCTACAACTATCGAAGAACTCGAAGGCGAAAGAAGGGTTGACAAAGAAGCGCGCCTAAGGAAGCAGGACGTTGCAAGAAATAAAATAGCTCAGAGGCAGGATGCTCCTTCGGCTATTCTGCAAGCGAACAAGCTTAATGATCCTGAAGCAGTTCGGAAAAGGTCCAGGCTAAATCTACCCGCCCCACAAATTCCAGACCATGAGTTGGAAGCCATTGCTAAGATAGGTATTGCTAGTGATCTTGTTGGAAACGATGAGCTGACAGAAGGAAATGCTGCAACACGTGCTCTTCTTGCGAGCTATGCACAGACACCAAGACAGGGAATGACTCCAATGAGGACTCCTCAGAGAACTCCTGCAGGCAAGCAGGATGCCATAATGATGGAAGCGGAGAACCAGCGGAGGTTGACTCAGTCTCAGACTCCATTGCTCGGTGGAGAGAATCCAATGTTGCATCCGTCAGACTTTTCTGGAGTTACTCCAAAGAAAATCGATATTGCGACGCCAAATCCTCTGTTAACTCCTTCAGCAACTCCTGGAGTGTCGGGCCTCACTCCTAGAATCGGCATGACACCTTCACGCGACCTGAATTCTCTTGGTATGACACCGAAGTCAACTCCAATGAGGGATGAGCTTCACATTAATGAAGACATTGATATGCATGACAATGGCAAATTAAGGCAGTCCGAGTTGAGAAAAGAACTGCGTTCTGGATTGAAAAATCTTCCGCAACCCAAAAATGAGTACCAGATTGTTATCCAGCCATTTCCTGAAGATGACGAGGAACCGGATGAGAAAATGGAGGAGGATATGTCGGACAGACTTGCTAGAGAGAGGGCTGAGGAAGAAGCAAGACTGCAAGTGTTACTCAAGAAAAGATCGAAAGTGTTGCAGAGGGAGCTACCAAGACCTCCACCTGCCTCGTTGGACCTTATTAGAAACTCTTTGATGAGATCTGATGAAGACAAGAGCTCCTTTGTTCCTCCAACACCAGTTGAGCTGGCCGATGAATTAATAAGGAAGGAGCTTTTGTCTTTGCTGGAGCATGATAATGCAAAATATCCCCTGGATGAAGCCGTCAAAGAGAAGAAGAAAGGCAAGCGTGCTGCGAATTCTGTACCCGTGCCTTCAATTGATGATTTTGGAGAAGATGAACTGAAAGAGGTACGTGAATTCAGTTTCATTTTAACATAAAATTTTATTAAAGTTCATGAAAATGTTTTGCAGTAAAAGGTTTTGCTGTTTTTCTTTCTGATTTATTGTGTGTGGAGCTTTTTGTTTCATTTATGCATGTTATTGTAGAATGGCATGCTATTAATTTTCCCAGCAGTTCTTAGATATATTGATTATTTGAAAGGTTACTCAAAACATTGCAAGTTGCACATGGTCATGCACAGATCACACTTACATCGCAAACTATTATTCGATTGTTGTATCCTTCTTCTAAAGCGTCAGTAGAAAATTTAATCATTTATGTGAATATTTACACTTGTTCGCAGTTGTGTGAAAACTTGACAAGAAAATGCTTTTCCAAAGTTGTATAGTTCTCATACGTTGTCCAGTAGCATACTGTTTTGTTTGTACTTTGTTGTATGTAGCTAACACTGTGTGTTGACATTTATGCAAATAATTGTAGCATTGCATGTTATTATTTTTCCAGCAGTGCTTAGATGTATTCATAAAAGGTTGTTTAAAGCATTGAAAATGGAACTTGGTCATGCATTGCTTACTGTCACAGCACAAATCGTATTCTATTGCTTGAATTGTTCTATCGTTCTTCTGAAGCTTCAATTGAAATTTAATGACTTATATGAATACTTACACTTGTAAGCAGTTACATGAGAACCTGCAAGAAAATTATTTTCTTAAGTTGTATAGTTCTCATACGGTCTTGTTCGCTTACGATTTGGCTTGTGTTCAGTAGCACACAGTTATTGGTCTAACACTGAAGTTTGAACTGATAGTCATCACTTGTGTTGCAAGTTGATTATAGAGAGAGTTTATGCTGCAAATATTAGATGTATAATTTCATTTGATGTAGCTATCAGTGGTCTTTGGGTGTGGTCGCTTATTGTAAAGCTTTAACAATGGTCCATCATAGTTATGCGCGTCGTTATATAAACATGTATACACTACAAAAGATCACATGCAAACAAAATTCAATATAAAAACCTTAGTCCACCAACGTTTTATTCAAAAAACATCAATTTTCAATTTTACACTTGCACTGTTGCAGTTGCCAGTTTTTGGACTAAATTATTCTTGTTTTTATATGTCAGAGAAATAATTCGTGTTTCCTACAGAATATTTTCTTTTACTTCTTTGTAATATGAATCGTATCAGTTTTCATTTTAATTTCAATTTCTGCAATCCTAAATATGTAGAAGTTCGTCTTGAATTTGATGAACATGTTTTTAGTAAGTTCTAATTCAAATTTCTTTCTTGTTACCTAATATGATATAAATGTTGACATGTAAAATATCAAATATTCATTATACACTTGTTCCATTTAAAATTTCAAGAAAATGTCAAAAGATACTCGTTAAGTTTTAAAAAATTTCAAATTTCAAACGTAATTTAGCAAAAGAAAATGTCCACTTAATGTTGGGGGAATGGGTTTTCTGGATTGAGTAATATTTTGATGGGTTATTTGGGCATAAAGTTCATTCTATAGGTTCTTAGTGACAGTCTATCATGTTTTTAGTAAGCAGTACAAAATTAGATTTGCTCGGAGGTGATTTTCTGGAGATCCCACTTCCATATGTTTATCGTTGTCACCATTTTCCCAGCTTCTACTAATAACTCTCTTTATTGTGCAGGCTGATGAATCAATAAAGGCGGAGGCCAAATTTCTATGTATGACAATGGGCCATGACAATGAATCTCTCGATGGTTATTTGGAAGCGCATAAAACATGCTTAAATGACATTATGTACTTCCCGAGTCGTGATGGCTACGGTCTATCAAGTGTTGCCAACAATACGGAGAAGCTTGCCGCCCTGCAGAATGAATTTGAAAATGTGAAGACTAAGATGGATGACGAGACCAAGAAAGCACAACGGCAGGAGCAGAAGATTAAAATTCTTACTAATGGCTACCAAGTATGCTTTTCTTTACTAGCCATTTGTATTATATTGCTTTCTTCCATTTTTTGCTCTTACCTGGATAATTTATGTTAGATTAGAAGCTTCTGAGTGTCTAACGAAATACCAAAATGTTGAATTTAGAGATATATTTTCAAAATATTTGGATTTCATAAATTGAAATTGTCTCATAGGCCTCTACTACAAATGATAGATAGCGTGCATTCAAGGATAGTTCTCTGAATATTGCTCTGATGTTTCTAATTGAGTCAAACGGCATTAGGCCTATGTCTATCTATGCTTTTTGCGTTGGGAAATGTCGAAAGGCTTGTGTAGTCTGTAGATATGAAGTTTCTTGGAAATGTGTTTGCCAAGTTTTCTTACATAAGCATGGGCCAATGTTTGATCAATGTAATAGATGTTTTAGTTAGTACATGGACAGAGATATTCAAATAATCTATCTTTATACTCTGCCTTATGGTCTTGTTCCTGAACATAAAATTCTTCAATAATTACGCAATGAATTGTGGTTCCTTAATGATTTCTTAAAGAATATGAATATTTTGGATTTGGACGATTAATTGATTGGCTAAAGCATTTTTTCATGGTAATCTAAATCGCTGGTTTCTGAATAATTATCAGATACGAGCCGGAAAACTGGGGGCTCAAATAGAGGCAGCTTTCAAGCAGATGGACACTGCAGGAACAGAACTGGAATGCTTCCAAGCTTTACAGAAGCAAGAGCAACTATCGGCAGCACACAGGATAAGCAACCTCTGGGAAGAGGTCCAGAAGCAAAAGGACCTCGAGCGTATTTTACAGAAACGATACGGTGACCTTTTACCCGAACTCGAACGGCTTCAAAATTCGATAAATGCACACAGATTGCACGCACAAAGACAAGTGGAGATTGCTGCTGCTGCTGCTGCAAAGAACGATGACCTCGTACTGGATGAATCTGTCACTCCTGTTGAAGATCAATCTGTTGTACTGGATGAATCCGTCACTTCTGTCGAAGATCAACCTGTCGTGCAAAATCTCGAAACTTTTGAACCCAAGGAAGAGTTTTCGACGAAGGACGATAATGCCCCTGAGGCTGAAATGGAGGTGGAAGCATCTGTTGAAAAATCTGCACAACCTGATCTTGGGAATCCTGCTCCTGTAGGCGAGATTGAGACGGAAGAGGGTTGGATCCTGTTATGAATGTTGGTTCTGACGAAATGAGAAGCCATGAGAGTTGTTGAATTCTGCTGAAGTAAAATGCTCAAGAAAGTCTTTTTCGAATGAAAAAATCGAGGATTTGTATGCCTTAATTTGAGAATTGTATGTTGAAAACTATTTTGGGAGTGAAGGAGCGTAAGAAACTCGATATGTATTTGGTTTCGGTTTTACGTTTTTGAGAGGGAGGTGGTTTATTTAAAGCTGTACTTTGTCTTTCAATGATTAAGTACTCAGAGTGCTCAAATGGGAGAATATGATATCTATACTTTGGAAGTGTCTATTTGGGGCAACTTTCAGGTTTAAAAGTCTGGATAATGAAATAGGATATTTATATTATGCAACAGAAAAACACAGAGGATAAGTCCTTACACAAAATATCCTTAATAAATTAATGGAAAGTTTCAAAAAACAAAAATTCTTGTACTGATTTCTAATTTGGGGGTGTTTGCAAAAGCTTATATTGTACACTTGAAAGTCAAGTAAGGTGGTGTTTGCAAATGATTATTTAAAAACAGAAGTTACGATTGTGAGTTAAGTCGGTTTTAAGTGTTTATTTCTAAAAGTTAGGGGTGTTTGCAAATATTCCGGAAAATGAACTTAAATAGAAAAAATAGGTTTAGGGGTGCTTTTCAAAAAATAGTTTAAAGCAGATTATTTTAAGAGAAGCAAAAGCAAAAGTTGATTTTGCAAACACCTGAAAACAGATCAGGAGCAAAAAAAGCTCATAATTACTTTCAAAAAGTTTTTGCAAACACCACATAAATCGGAGATAATTGTTTCAGGAGATTGTTTGACAAACCCCCTCATTAGACATGTGCAATTAAGATGAACCCCAAATATTTTTTTAATATTAAAATAAATCCAAAATATTTTTTAAATACCATAAATAATACAACATCACTATAATACCCTTAGTCCAAACCATCAAACACCTATTTTCTTTCATTTTCTAATACTCGACATCCCCCAACTCTTTCCTCCCCATCTCCCCTCACGCTCATGTTTTTTCTTTTTCTTTCTTTCAATGATCGCGGCCTCCCCTCTTTCTTTCTCTCTACCGCAGCCGCCCTCTCTTTTCTCTCCAGCATTGCCCTCAGATGTCGAATCCATCTCCCACAAGCCTTCCCTCTCCTCCGACCCACCAACAGCCGCCGCCCAATATCTCCTTCCTCAAACCGCCATCGCCGCTGCTCCTTCACAACTGTGGTCTCTTAAATATTGCAATTTGTGGTGGTTTGATTTTATGGGACGATAATTTTTTGGTTTCATCATCAACAACTTTGAAATTTCCAAAAGACAAAGGGAACACATAAGTACATACAAATTATAATAGAGAGTTATTTTGACGAATTCAATTCACTATTGCGTATAGTGAATTTTGACATTTCAGTATTAAATCCACTTTTGCGTAGAGTGATTTTCGTCATTTTCATTTATTAAGTTCACCATATGTGCAGAGTGTAGTTTAAATCCACTATTAACGTTAACATTTAAAGTAGATTACGCTAATTTCATAATGAACTTTACGTTAATTTCGTAATGGTTTTCAATAAATTTCAAGTAATTATTGCTTTTAGTTAATAGTTCCAAATTTTTGCTTCCAGGGATTACTGGATATCAAAATTTTGCTTTCCAGTAAATAGTGGATTTCAATTTTAATGAATTTCAGTTTTTTGGTAAATTTGGTGCTAAAAAAAATAATTATTATTTTTTGCAACGAAATAAAAAAAAATATCGAAAATAAAAAAATGGAAACAATATTAATTGAAATGAGACGTTATTTTAGGGGGAGACTATGATAGGTTCCTAAATTTGGGTGATTTGCATATCTATAAATCTTTTAATTTATTTTCCATGTCAATTCAATAGGGCAAATTTGGTATTTTGTTATGAAAGGGGTTATCTTAAATATGGCATTGGAATTTGAATTTCTCACTCTACTGAAATTAAATGAGGGGTTCTATCAAATAACTCCTCGTTTCAATTCAAGAATTTCGGAATGTTTGCAAATGCGATTAAAAATCAAATTTAAGTAGTTAATTTACATGTTGATGTGTTTGCAATATAAACTTGAAGTCTTAGCTTATTATGGTAAATTTCTCTTCAATGTCCTTCAAAACTTTACTAAGGTATCGTCCTTCAAAACTATACTAAGGTATAAATATTAAGAATATAAATGTCCAATGTAGTTTGAAGCTCAAAACAATTGGTGTAAACATGCTTTTGAAATTGGGATTTTTTTTATTTTTGAGTAAAAATTGGGAAAATTTAACAACCCCTTATTAGACAAGTGCAGTTACAATTAGCCCCTAAAAAATTAGTTTTTTTTAAGGTAATTAAGTCCAAACCATTTTTAATTAATAAAAAATTATTAAGTTTCACTATCATACTCATATTAATCCCCTTGAATAAATTCAATTTATTTTTCTTTTTTTTTGGCATAATTTAATATTAGTGGTCTTAAGATATAAGTCCCTCGTGACAAACCTTACTAGAACTAAATGACAAGTCTAACTAAAATTTCCTTCACATCCTTTATTAAATTCATTCCAAAAATGTCCATTCCCTAAAAAACTCAAAATTACACCAAATTGTAAATATACATAAATTATGGTATTATTTAACATTTTTAATTTTGCATCTAGCATTTTTTTTAAATTTTACGTGGAACACGTATTTTGTTTTTTCCGTATTTTGTCATTATATAAAAATCTATTTTTTCCCCTTTCTTTTCTACATAAATTGAAAATTATGATTTTTTTTAATTTTTTCGATCGTAGACATCTACAGAAACCTATAGCAAACTGTAGTAATCTGTAGTTACCCATAGACATCTTGAAACCCTAACCCTAACTTCTCCTACAAAACCTAGCCGCCAGACACCATGGACACCCATAGACACTCACAAACATCTGTAGACATCCAAATCGATTTTTTTTTTTTAATTTTCCCCACCAAATCCTAGATCCGCTCTGTTAGAATTTTATTTCGTGCAGATTAAATTATTTGTGTCAGATTCAGTTTTTCGTTATTGTTGCGTGAAGTATTGCAACAGTTCGTGAAACAGTTTGAAAAGACATAAATAAACGAGACACAAATTTAATGTGGTTCGGATACAATTGTACCATACATCCACGGGGACCTGCAAACAAAATTTAGTAATTTTTAGTTTTTCGAATACAATAGTAGGACTTAATCAAAATACAAAGACTCCCTCTTTGTTGACGCTGTTCTTGTATACTACGCTGAATTATATATCTTCTATTTGCAGCACGTCCCTTGCTCCGCACGGTTGAACTCCCTTCAACGATGAATCCCTCAGTCGGCGGATCGATCTCCTCCCGAGATATGTTTAAGCCCATCTCCCGAAAAACCAATTTTCTTTTTATATAGAAGAAGCAAACTTGTGATACTCCTTGAATCTTGGTGTCTTCACCACAAAGCCTTGAAGCCGGTATATTTTCTATGAAAATCACGTATCACGATGGAACTATAAAAACGAGAGCCAAGAATATTTTATCTATATATTTTCTCTCGGTCAAAGACATTCCCTGCGCAGCAATAAAAAGAGCAGAAAAATATGATTTTTCTCTCCAATGAAAAGCGTACAACAGCAACAAAGAAAAGAGAGATTTGTTTCTCTCCAAAAAAAAAAGACACACCGTATTTTGTTCTTGCTTCTCCTTTTTATATAGCCTGAGAGACTCCTGTATAAGCAAACTAATTAAGGTTAAATACGTACAGGAGATATAAGAAAGTTATAAGATACCAATCTAATAAGGGATTTTTATGCAAAAGTCCCCAACCAAGCATGTTTATTATTCTAGGTTTAGGGGACATATCTCTTTTACCAATAAGCCCATCCCTTTAATATTTATTATAACTAAAGGAAACATTCATGTATATCCCAATATTACCCTCAACCATTTATACCCAATTCTTAATTGTAATCCAAATTAATCAATTTTGTCCATAAAAGTTCAATTTTGACCACAAAAATTCAATTTTGACTTTTTTTTGGAGTATAATTTAATATGCTCCAATTTCATCCTTAACTTAATTTAATCTCAAATTGACCCCAAATTTCACAAATTATTAAATTTTGACCCAAAAATTTTTTTTTTCAAAAAATATTTTTTTTTTTCAAAAACTTTTTTTTTGCCGCCGGATTCCGGCGTTGACTTTTTTAATTTTTTTTTTTTTTTTTTTTTTCTTTCTTCCGGATTTTTTCGCCGGTTTCCAGCGTTGACCGGCGGTCAACGCCGGTCTCCGGCGTTGACTTTTTTTTTTTTTTTTTTTTTTTGCTTTTTTCTTTTTTTTTTTCTTTTCTTTTCTTCAGGATTTTTTCGCCGGTTTCCGGCGGTCTCTTTTTTTAGTGTTTTTTTAAGTTTTTTGTTTTGTTTTGTTTGGTTTGTTTTGTTTTTCCACGTCCGCCGCTAAACGTTGACCGTAATTGTGCTGTCACTGACAGTAAATTAACGTAATTATACTGTCAATGATAGTTAATTAACGTAATTGTACTGCCGTTGACATTACATTTATGTAATTGTGTTGCCGTTGACAGTAAATTAATGCAATATTATATTTTTTTATTTATTATTATTTTTTTTTATTTTTTTTTGATTTGTTGACAAGTCAACGTAATTATATTACTGTCGTTGACAGTAAAATAACTGTAAACACAATAATATTACTGTCAACAACATCAATATTATTATTTTTTTGTGGTGTTTGTATTAATATTACTGTCTATTATTGTAATATTACTGTAAACACAATAATATTACTGTGGTTGACGGTAATATTACTGTTTGTTATAGTAATATTCATGTCAACCACATCAATATTATTCTTTTGTTTGGATATTTTGTTTGTTTGAGTTATTCACGGAGTAACGTAATAATATTACTGTCTACTATTGTAATATTACTGTTGCTATAGTAATATTACTGTCACTCACAGTAATATTAATTCTTTTGGTTTTTTTTATTTTGTTTACATTTGTTGAACGGACAACATAGTAATATTACTTTATTATACAATAATAATGAATTTTGTTGTGTTAATATTAATGTGCTAGAGATTAATATAGCAATATCACTGTGTTAAACTATAGTTTCGTTATTTTTACTGTGTTTAACAGTAATATAGTTAATATTACTGTCATTCAAAGCAATATTGTTGTTTAAACGGAAAAAAAAGTTACAGAAAAAAAAAATTAAAAAAAAAATAAAATAAAAAAAATAAAAAAAAGTCAACGCCGGAGACCGG